ATGTTCTTATCGTAAGTTTAGTCGTATTATAATTTTATGTATGTTCATGTTATGATTTTGATTGCATTATAATTTTATCTATTGGGTTATAAAGATTTGAAGTCTTTAAGTTTGGTATGTGATTTTTTACATATCGTATGGTTGGTCCGGTCCATTCACTATTGTGTTTTTAAAGTCAAGGCATGTGTTGAAGATGAAAAATAGTACATGTACATCATCCTTTGAATGAGACATATCTTTATGTGGAGTATTTTTTATTCTTAAATTTGTGTCAGATTCCTTAATATTTCCGTCGTTATTATTATTCATTTTATTTAGTTTTACAATTTTATTACTAAACAAATCTCTCTCTCAATATATATATATGTGTGTGTATATTAAAATTTCACTAACTATATTTTATTTAACTTTTTTCGAATTATTTGAATATGATTGGTTGATGATTCTATTAACAATTAATATATATTTATATAGACAATCATCATATCAATCATTAATCAAAGCACTCATACTACCGCGCAACGCACGGTTCCCATACTAGTTTAATTATAAAAGAAAAAATAAATTAGTGGGTCCCATTGACCTCCCCATTATGCGTATAATGGTCATTAACCTCTCATTAACCTCCATTCACAATGCATGATGCATGTAATGGCTCTCATTAACCTCCTCATTAACATCCATTGGAGATGCTCTTAGAATTCGTGCATCTTGTGTTATTTCATACGAGTTTTTTTTTCTCGTTAGGCATGCTATTTAAGCATTGGTTAACATATATTCGTTTTACAGTGTGTTTGTATTATATGTTCGTTTCATAATGTAAAACTTTTTTACTTGTATTTTTTGTTTTACAAACACGTCAAAAAGGTTCACATTGTGAAACAAATATATGGTAATTAATATTCTAAATTTTAGTTTTAAATAGAAAAAAAATCATATAAAATAACATGATGAATAAGTTTTCAAAGGTTATATTGTTATATTATATATATATATATATATATATATATATATATATTTGTGTGTGTGTATGTGTGTGAGAGAGAGAAGAGTGAGGAGAGGGGTGATTATAAAGTTAGATATAAAAAGTAAAGAAATAAAGGAAGATGACGATATGAGAGAGAGAGAGAGAGGGGCAAGGCAGAACCAGGGGAGGGTTTAAAGGAAAAGGTGGCGATGTGAGAGTGAGGTGCGTGGGTGATACGAAGTCCACGTCTCAATGTCGACTATCTTTATTATATTCAAAACAAAAGGTTTTTATATATTAATATATTTTTTTCATTTTTACAAATAATTTAAATTTTAATAAATATTCAATAACAACTATATGTCATCTGAGTTGTGGCAATGGGACTCACGTGCTTAGGCTTTAATTTATTTTTGATACATGACATTTTTAGTTCATTTTAAAAAACATATATAAATACGTTTAAGTAATTGAATTTATTTATTTAATTGTAATAAATTTATGTTTTTTCCCTAAAAGGAAACAAATATGGATGTTTAGAAATATATATATATATATATATATATATATGTATACGTAAATATATATTGAGAGATGACAAGATAGAACATAGGAGAATAAATGTAGGACCTACATAGACCTTTTGATGTATCAGGGTTTGGCCTTTATTCTAGCGGTATGTGGGTCTTTGGCCTCTTAAGAGGTCAAAGGGTTCAAACATCATCAAATATAAGGTGGACGTATGAGTTTATTTATTCTATTTGTCATTATAAATATTATATATTTAAAAAAATATGTATCCATGATTAGATTTATGTCAAAATCATAGA